ACATGGATGGGTCTAACAACCTACTTGAGAGATGGGCAGGATGGGCTGGAGTTAGAGCAGTAATGACCGGAACCGGTCGGTGATACTCCCTGGAAACCTATCACACACACAATGTACAGAATGTGCTGATCAGGTGTTGGGGATTGGAAGAGGAGATGTCGGTTGACATGGAGGACAGCAGTGCCTGTCCCAGAGGTTCTGGAGAAGGGGGTTTCTGGTGAGTAGGGCAATGGAAGTGGGGGCACCTGAGCAGGTGCCAGTGGGGCCCTCAGGAAGAGATGCCCAAAGGCCTGGGAGGAACGCAGAGAGGGCCTGGGAGCACGATGCAGGGTCATGATTCATCAGGACAGGAATGGTGATGAGCCTGGAGGCCAGTGACATCACCAAGGGAGAGAGAACAGCAAGGGCCAAAAAGCAAACTGGGGAAAAGACTCGCAGGGGTTGTTTACTGAAAACTTCACTCTCCCTAGTTCTGCATTTCACTGAGAACAGTGGCTCTAAAATCAGCTATTACCCAAGTCTCAATTCAGTAGTTGGTAACCGAGAAATGAGAAGAACAGAATCCATTTAAATATAAGCTTCCAAAGAGGGATTATAAGAGCATTTGCCCTTTAACACTTTTGGCAACACATGGTAGCTTTTTCTTAATGTTGAAGTTATTGCTCAAAGTTCTGTGACTTTGAGTCACATACAAAAGTATTGTCCAAAGACTGCTGGCTTCAGATAATCGTCTCTTCGTGGCACTTTTACCCTATCTGCCTTTTCTGAGTACAAACAACTTTTAGAAAAGAGTGATTCTAGGGACTTCCCTGTTGGCACAGTGGCACAGTGGTTAAGAATCCGCCTGCCAATGCAGGGGACACGGGTTCGAGCCCTGGTTCAGGAAGATCCTACATGCTGCGGAGCAACTAAGCCCATGCGCCACAACTACTGAGCCTGCGCTCTAGAGCCCGTGCTCCACAACAAGAGAAGCCACCGCAATGAGAAGCCCACGCGCTGCAACGAAGAGTAGCCCCCATTCACCTCAACTAGAGAAAGCCCATGTTAAGCAACGAAGGCCCAACACAGCCAAAAATAAATAAATAAGTTTATTTTTTTTAAAAAAAGAGCGATTCTATACATTGAATTGAGGATGGGGGCAGAACACCAGATTAGAAATAGGATGATCTGAATTTGTGCCCACACTTTGCCAATTACTAGCCAATCAATAAATCCAACAAACATTTAGAGAAGGTATATATCCTACTGGGAGATTAGGTTACAAAGCCAGTATGTACAGGGATGACAGCATACAGTCAAAATTCCTCTGGAGAAATCCTTTGGGAATATGCCGTGTTAAGATGACACAGAGTCTCTCCCTAATTCCAATGCTGACCATTTTCCTTTTAATCTTGGTCCAGATGGTGGTTTCTTCTTACGAGCACCAGATGAAGTTAATTTGAGCTGAGGGGCCATGTTATGAGATGCACACTGTATCTTTAAGATTCGTGAGCATGGGAACCAAGACCCATCATGGGAATGCAGAATCCACCTCATGCTTACTGTGGACCCCAGACTCATTGGGTGGAACGGAGGGCGGTGGAGGGATGGCCATTTAGACTTACATACACTGTGAGTGTGCACGTGTGTGTGTGTGTGTGTGTGTGTGAGAGAGAGAGAGAGAGAGAAAACAGTTGAGTTTGTGCAAGTGGAATGACACCAAGGAGCCAGGGCTCCATTGCTCGTGTGCCAGGTGCTGTGCTAGGAATGAGGAAGAAGAAATTAGCAGGTGCTGCTGCCACCCCTGCAGGTCAGTCTAGAAGGTCACTAGGAGCACAAACACAGCATTGCAGACTAACTGGAGTACAGTGTGATACAGGGGCATGGAGTCCACAGGAGCGAGAATTAGGAAAGGCTCTTTAGAGAATATGACTCTAAGCCGAATCTTCAAAGAAATGCACATGCCAGTCAGAGGAGGGAGAGGGAGGAAGAGCGTTCTAGAGCATTCTGGAGGGGAGCTGGCATGAGTCGAGGCGGGGAGGCTGAAAGTGGCACATTTGAGACCCACGAGTTGTCTGGTACAGCTGGTGTGCGGTATGGGATGGGGGGCGGAGCACAGGGCGAGAAGGTGCTGCAGAGGTCAAGGGGCCACACTGCAATGAGCTCCCTTCCAGCAAAGGGGTTAGGACGTGAGGCTGTATGTGACGGGGATGCACAGGAGGTTTCTAAGGAGAGAGACGTGATCATGAGACCGACGCACATTTTTATTGAGCTCATTCTGTCACTATGGAGGATGGATTAAAGCAGGCTGAGAATGGAGTCAGGGAAAGTAGTTAGAAAGAAATCAGGCTACTGTAGGAGAGAGAAGAAGAGAGAGAGGGATGGCGGCACCAGCCATGGAAAGGAGGCCAAAAGCCAGATCCCCGTACCTGGCAGGATCACTAACCGTTTACCCTGTACCTGGCAGGAGCCGAGCCCTTGCACACATCCCCTTGCGTCTTCGGCCCACAACCCTATGAACCGGGTGCTGCCAGGTCAAGGCATCCCCGCGACCGTCACACGAGGGCCTCACCCACGTCACGCCAGGTCCAGCCCTCACCCCCGCCCCCTTGGCTGCTTTTCTGGCTCCTGAACACATGGAGCCCTTGCTCACCTCAGGCCCTTTGCAACCTTTCATCCCTCTGCCTGGGACCTCCTTCTTGTTCCGATGGCTTGTTCTCATTTTGGAGGTGCAGTTCATGTGCTACTTTCACTAAGAAGTAGGTCCCTTCCTGCGTCAGCCTGCTTGTCTCCTTCATAGCACTTAGAATCTCTAATTATCTTATCTGTCTACTTTTTACTGCCTGTCTCCTCCTTCTAGAATACTCCATGAGAGTAGGGGCCTTATTTGTCTTATTCACTATTATATACTTATTCACTATTATTTCTCAGTACCCAGCACAGTGTCTAAGTGCTTAATAAATATTTACTGGGGTAGGGGGAGGGATAAATTAGGAGTTTGAGATTAACATAGACACACGACTATATATAAAATAGACAACCAACAAGGACCTACTGTATAGCCCAGGGAACTATACTCAATATTTTGTAATAACATATAAGGGAAAATAATCTGAAAAAGAATATAGAGATATATATATTCATATATATATACGTATATATATATATATATATGAATCATTGTAAATCAACTATATTTCAATAAAAAATAAAATAAAATAAATTTATTGAATGAATATCCATTTTACAGATGAAGAAAATAATAACAGTAAGAACAATAAAAACTAACACTCAAAATATGGGCTGGGCACTGGTCAAACTCATCTAAACCTCACAGATTTGATGTAAATATCATTATTTCTCCCATTTTATAGATGAAGAAACGGAGGCTCCCACATTTAGGTAACTTGTCCAAAGTCACAAAGCTTGTAAATGGCAGAGCAGAGATTCAAATTCAGGCAGTCTGGCTCCAGGGTTGAGCTTTCAACATCTATGCTACACGGCTACTCTAAGACTGGGCTTTCCAGTCGTCGGGTCACAAGGCTGGCGATGGAGGAGCTAGGATTCCAACCTGGTCCTTTCGACTCTGGAAACCAAGCTCCAGGGCTGGAGGGATGGGGGTGGTGAGAACTGAGGAGAGAGAAGCCGGCCGGCAGGTCTAAGCTAACAGAGGGCGGTGTTGATTGAGGGGCACACAAAGGCGAGCCTGGGTTGAGTTCTGAGCGTGTAGAATCCCAGGTGCCCGCTGCACTCTCCTTTACTGTGCCTCCAGCTTTTGGAGCAGGACACGTCACTCAGCCCCTCTGATCCCATCCTCACACTTGTAAAATGTGAATTTAGATACCGACCCAACAGGATTCTTGCGACGATTAAACTGAGATAACGCAGACCCGTGGGCAGATGTTCGTAAACATTACTCTCCTGATCTTTTCTGTACCTTCGGCTCGCACGGAAAAGCCAATGTTTTCAGGAAAATGGGCTAAGCATCCAGATGACATAAGGAACAAGAGAGAAAACTCCTGGGTGGGTCCAATTATATAATCATTCCCCAAGCTTAATGAGGCTTAGAATTAGCTAAGTTTCATCTTCTGAACACTTGCTGTTATTGCAATAATCAAATGAAGAATTCATAAAACTAGGTTCAATTTAATCTAAGCTTACCACATAAATCTTACCTCTGCTTCCCCCTACTTCCCCCTAGATGTTTATTTTCATTATTTTTTTTTTTTCTTTTTTTTTGGCTGCGCTGCGCGGCTTGCGGGATCTCAGTTCTCTGAACAGGGATCGAACCTGGGCCCCAGCAGTGAAAGCACTGAGTCCTAACCACTGGATGGCCAGGGAATTCCCTCTTTTCATTCTTATTTCTTGCTAGGTATATGCAATATTTGTCTTTGGACAAGCCACTTATCTTAATCTTAAATTTCTCATCTGCAAAATGGGAACAACAGTCCTCCCCTTAATAGAATTCTTATAAGAATTAAAGGAGATAATGTGTTAGAAATTCCTTTGCAAACTAAGTACTATCCAAATATAATAATAATTATTAAAAAGAAATATAAAGGTATATTTGTATAAAATTATCAAATTTATATTAACAATTATTGATATACTTATTATTTATATATATAAATAAAATATAATTTTATTTAAAATGTTTTTATGACGGACTTCCCCGGTGGTGCAGTGGTTAAGAGTCCGCCTGCTAATGCAGGGGATACGGGTTTGATCCCTGGTCCAGGAAGATCCCACATGCCGCAGAACAACTAAGCCCGTGTGCCACAACTACTGAGCCCGTGCACCACAACTACTGAAGCCCGCGCACCTAGAGCCCATGCTCTGCTACAAGAGAAGCCACTGCAATGAGAGGCCTGTGCACCACAACAAAGAGTAGCCCCCGCTCGCCGCAACTAGAGAAAGCCCGCGCGCAGCAACGAAGACCCAACACAGCCAAAAATAAATAAATTTATTTTAAAGAATAAATAAATTAATTTAAAAAAATAAATAAAATGTTTTTATGAGGGAAGAGAAGTATGCTTATTGAGATCATGCCTTTTCCACAATGGTAATTTAATTAGTCTTCTCCAAGTTATAATTGCCCAAGTGCTGAAAACTGTATACCTCATTATATCTTGTCCTTCTAATCGAGGTGGAGATGCTCACTGAAACCCCCCTGCCTGCAGGACCCGGAACCACCTTGCAGTGGGCGTGTGCTTTTGTCTGGCAGGCATCACGGGCGAAGAACCATCCTTCACCATAGCCTGCCCTGAACTTTTAGCTCGAGGGTGAAAAAGTGACCCAAGAGAAGCTGGTCAGCATTCTTCCTGCCCCTGGTTTGTTTAGGGATAGGGATTTGGACTGAGCAGGACCAATCTGACGACTTCCCTGAGCTGTTGCTGGAACTATGAGGAAAAAAAAACCTTTCTTTTCTCTTGGGAGTGCCGGCTGTGAGAAGCAAGCAGCTGGAGCTACTTCTGGGCCTCTCTGACACTACGTGGGGAGGACCAAACTGAATAAAGTCAACCCAGTGACAGGCAGACAGACAGACAGATAGAGTGACCAGTTCAGACCAAACTGGGACTTCCCTGGCTTTAGCATGGAAGGTCCCATGCCCAAGACCCCCCTCAGACCTGGGCACACAGGGATGGTTGGTCACTTCACAGAGACAGAGTCCCGCATATACCATTCCAAGCCTTGATCCAGCTTTACTCGGAGGCCCTCCTTGGGCACCTCAATTCTATGACCCAGTAAGTTCTGGGGTCTGTTTAAGCAACTTTGAGTTGTGTTTCTGTCACATGCAACTCAAAGAGTCATAACACATGCCCAAAGAATGTCCACATATAAGGCACAAAGTTAAAAAAGCAAAAGAAATCAAAGTAGGAAACAAGCTATTTTTAGCATTGAAACATGAGGAAATGTGATCATGTGGTCCTTTCTGAAGTTGAGGTAATTTATTTGACAAAGGGGCTCCGGAAAAAAAAAAAAAAGAAGTATACAAAATGGAAAAAAGAAGAGGCAAATGAAAACATTCTTATGGAACAAAAACCTCATGGCATGAGAAAGGTCAGAGAAACACATGAGCAAAAATCCAAAAGAACAAGCTTAGGCAGCGAGGGGAAAAACGGAGCTGAAGTCAAAGCATGGAGCAGTTTTGCCTTTTCTTTAGAGACAGACCCACCGTAAAGTGGGACAAGAAGACAAGTGAGCCACGGAAGTGGACTGTGAAAAAACTGGACCAGCAGAGGCTTCTGCAGATCCTCAACAATTCCACAAGACTTAAAGCAAAACATCTCAATGGTCTCTGGCACTCCGCCCTGGGGCAGGTAGGCCAAAGCAAATGCTATGGGAATAATAATATGGGAGCTTTTCTTAAGGTGACATACAGCAGTGATTACAAAGACTGGAGAAGTTGGAAAACCTCAGCGTGCACCAGAATTCGTACAGCGTGCATATGACAGAGCCGCATGCCAACCCTAACCCTAACCCTCAAGCGCTATAGGATGAGTGAGAGAAATTTGCGCTCCAGAAGGGTTTCCTTTGAGAATATGGCCAGAAGGGAGAAATCTAGACAACCCATCTGTACACAGCCACACAGGATGGAATGATAACCACTCTTTCTGGCCTTCCCTGAAGAAGGATGTGAGACTGGGGCCCCCAAGGGACATGGCCCGGCACCATTTCTATATCTAATGCAGTTTGGAAAAAACTTAAGTGTTGAAAACCAAGAGAGAAGTCATTTTCTCAATAGAAAGACAACATAAAAAAAAAAAAAAAAAACCATGTGAAGATATGTGATTTAGTCTTACCTCTATGAGTATATTTTCTATTGAGTCTCTATTTATTTATTTATTTGCTGTGCAGCAAGGCATGTGGGATCTCACTTCCCCAATCAGGGATCAAACCCACACCTCCTGCAGTGGAGGCACGGAGTCCAATCCACTGGACCGCCAAGGAATTCCCGAGTCTCACTGATTTTAAACTATTCTCATTTTGTTGTCTGATTATCACCTAGTAACAGGGTACCAATCAGGTTCTTGGTCTTGGTCCTCTTGTGGGTGTTTCAGGGAGCCTGATATGACTGTGCAGGGTCTTTCTAACACAAACACTTTAATTTAGGATGTTTAAGATAAAAACAGAAAGGAACTTTGAGGGAGGCAAGGAACTGCACCATCTGAACTCGCACATTTGCAAAAATGTTTACGCTGTATTTACCGAAGGACTTTTCCCCTTAAAACATGACACTGAAAACAGAAGACGTGATACGGTAAAAGGTTGTCTGGTAATAAAGAACCAGATTCACGCACCAAATCCTAACTCACAAAGAGCGCTCAAGTGGAAAACCACTGGAGGGACTGGAGCATGTGACTGAATTCTGCATCGCCTTTGAAGGTGGGGAGGTCCATCACTGGGGCTAGAGCATGTGATGGCTTGTTTTCTTTAAATCACTTGTAATTCAGGAAGGGCCCACCTACAAGCAGGATAGCTTCCTGCTTGCTCCCTGAACCAGGATGCCATCTGGAATGTAACAGAGGAAGGAGGCAAGACCCTAGGAAATGTCACGTTATTCTGAAAAACATCCCTTGCAGAATCAGACCACTGAGGTTCTCTCAGCGGAGCTCTCATCTCCGATTTCCTACAGGGGTAATGAAAGGCATTTGCCAAGGCTAAGGGGCAACAAGATTGTTGGCGTCTAGACTCACCTCTATGAGTATACTTTCTATTGAGTCTCACTTTACTTATTTATAAATAAAGGCATTTTGGCCTTTCTACAAATTCTCAACAGCTGCCTGCTAGGTGTTTATGTGGTTCTGGGTATTGTGTCCTCTGCAAAGAAAGGCATATGTAGGAACAAAGAGGATCTTGCCTCCTGGGGCCCTTAGTTTGTAGCTGGGGTGACTGGAGATTCCAAGAGGCTATTTATATGGGGTGATACTGTCGCTGAGAGAGGGTAGAAGCCAGCGAGTCACCCCACAAACCTACAGCAAAAATGGTCTTGTCTCCTGCCTCATCTATTTCACCAGGGCTGGAAAGGAGAAGGGGGTAAGGAAAAAAAAATGGGGGGTAAGAGATTATTTTTCCTCGATTTTGTTAAATTGATTTGACATTGATAAGACTGACCATGCTTCTGCAAACCAAACAGACATTTAACACTAACACAAACCCACGTTTTTCTCTTTTTAAGAAACGACAATTCAGGCTTTGGTGAAGTTACGAACTGCCTTCATTTTAGTACGATACCTACGGAACCACGAGGCTAGTATCGAATCTTCATAAATCCTAAGGGAATAGTGAAAATAGAAAGGGAATAAATATTTAAATATGAAAATCTGCCTCTAATTACCTAGTGCTCACCGATTAGATGCCAATGATGGAAACAACAGATAAAAGGTGAAAAGATGGCCATAGGAAGAGGGAGGTCAAGAAAGAGAGCTTGCACAGTGCGAGAGCAAGCCCTGTTCACCAGGCCAGTCACCCTGGGATTCAGAGACCAAACACGGTATTTTCCAGAGAACGCTGGCATGTTTATCGCCCAGCAGGCCCCACCCTGCAGCCTGAGAGCACCTACCAGTGTTTCCAACTTGGCAACCCCCCAAAAACCAGAACAATGATTGCTTTTCTCCTGCTATAATAATGCTGTCGAGTTCATCAGAGATCCATTTTGTACTTTTCATTGAGTCCAAAGCACGCTGTTTCCTTCAGAAGAAACCCTATCATGTTTTATATAGTTTTAAAAATAATTGATTTGGTCCGTTAGTACAGATAGAACTGTTCTGATGAGAAAGGAAGGAGCTTCTCCTGGAATCTCATTATTTATCTGAAGTTAAAATATATATATTTTTAAAACTTCACACCTGTGGTATAGTACATGCATGAGTCTAAGTATTTCTCTGCTCACGGGGTCTTAGGGAGACAGCTGTGGTGCCATAGTAATGTCTCATGCTTTGCCACTCATTCATTCATTCATTTTTATTGAGCATGTGCTATGTGTTCTACTCATGGAAGATACAGCAGTTAACAAGATAGAAAATGACCCAACTTCACCGAGCTAATACAGAGGAGGCCAAGAACAAATCCATGCAAGTAAGCAGATAGGATATTCCAGATGATAATAAACTCTTTGAAGGAAAAAGGTGGGGTGGTCAGCTCAGCTTCTCTGAGCTGATGACCTTTGGCTGATAAGAGGGAGCCTGTGAAGGTCTGGGGGTAGGCAGGGGAGTGGCCAAGGCAATGGCCCTGGGGTTACAGCAAGTGTGACAAATTTGGGGGAAAGAAAGAACACCAGTGGGGATGGTGAACCATAATACCGATTGTGGTTAAAGATTTAATAAGATGATGAATGCAAAAGAACACGATGAACTGCAAAGCAATGCCACTAAAAGGTATTATTTGGCTTGGTCAGAATACTGTATTCTAAAGAACATCATTCTTTAGATGTTTAGAGTTTATAAAGGATGCAGGTGAAAACTATATATTTCAGTTTTCATCTTCTACTTCTAATAAAAAGGAGCTGGCTCTCGAAAAGCCCTTTCAAGTATGGCACGTTGCCTTCACGTGAAATAGGAAATCCCACATACCTGGAATCCTATTAAGCGTCACCCAGAAATGTTCATCCGGGCTGAAGGTGTCTTTGGACCACTGGAGCAAGTCAAGAGCCCGTGGGTCATGGAGAACAAAGTTGGTAAACTCTCTTGACAGGGCAACGTAGGCAGAACCGAAGTAAATGGTGAGATTGTGGGGAGGAGGCGGTTTCAGTGCTGTGGTTCTTATCACATAGGAAAGCTCTTTGCCCAGGTGCTCTCGGTGGACATATTTAGTCCGTCCAATTGCGTGAGCTGGAGGCAGCACCCCTGGGGTTATGTTTTTCCCTTTAAATCCTTTCAGATACTGAACTATCTCCCTGTTGGTTTTCAGGGGGAAATCTTGCCCACAGGTGTTGATGGCGTACTTCCACGGAACCTCCAAGGCTGAAAGATCCTTGATGCAGTGCAGGTCAGCCTGGAGCCTGGAGATCCCACCATAGACCACGGGTTCCATCTTGGAAGCCAGAAAAGCATTCGGGAAGCAGCTCAGTAATTGCTCCACTGCATCTTTAAATTCAACTGTCGCTTTCTCATCCACGTGAACACAGTAGATATTCTGAGGCATGTAAATAGCTCTGAAGAGCCTTGCAAAGGTGTCGAAATTGTGATGGATGACCATGATATATGCCAAAGGAAATTCTGCTTCTTCTTTAGATAACGGGGCCGTGATGTAGTGGCTTTGAGCCAGGTATTCCTTGCAAGAAGACGTCTCATAGATCGTGAGTTTGTTTCTCCAGAGGAAAGGTGTTTTGCCTCTGATAAAGGATATGCAAACTTGACTCAGCATCAAAGTGTCCGAGTTATTTAGCCTCTGGAAGCCTTGCTCGCCCCCAAAATTGAACACATAGAACACGATAAAAATGATTACACAAGAGACAGAAACTATAAAGAGGTAACGCATCAATGAAGGCATGCCTCCAAGAGGAGATTTCAAAGACCGTCAAAATCTAAGTCCTCTCCCAAACTTACTTTTTTCTCTGAGTTCTTATTTTGGTGCATACTCCAGTAATTCGTGCCCTGAAGGAGACACTGTGAATTCATCCGGTTTCATCCCGGGAATCCAGCGGCTGGCGCACTCCCCATGCTGATAGAGCTACTGATCCCGCCTCGTTCTCTGCCTTTCAAACCGCCTTTGTCTACATCCCGGTAGCAGGTTGCTTAAGCCCAGCCTTTTTCCCTCCCTCTGCCTCCCTGCTCCCAACGGCTGGCTGTTTCACTAAAACTGTGGTTTTAGTCTCCTTTTCCCCTGCAGATTTAGTTTCTCAGATCTCTTTTGCTTCATTTCGGAAGGTTTCCCCCCCCCCTCTTGTTACTGTCATTCAGGGAATTAATACAGTAAGAACGAAAGTTGAAATGATGCGTTCTGGCAGGCGTGCCGTTTCCTGCTACTCATCCGACAGGCTGCGGCACTACCCCGCCCCCGGCGCTCCCCCCACCCCCTTGTTGCTCATGGCGATGAGCCACAGCCTGGTCCCTCGACTCTTCGAGCACACTCCACGGGGTATAATGTTGCCTCCGTTCTCAAATATGCCGCTTTAGTGAAAAAATGACTGAAGTGACGAGAATGAAAATTTTTAAAAAACCTCATCCACCGGGCTCTTTTGTAATGCTTTCTAGCCCCGCCCTACTCTTTTTCTTTTTCTTTTTTTGGCCCTACCGCGAGGCATGCGGGATCCTAGTTCCCGGACCGAGGATTGAACCCGAAGCCCCTGCAGTGGAAGCGCGGAGTCTTAAGCACTGGGCCGCCAGGGAAGTCCTCGGCACTCTCTTTTCTAAAACAAGAGCTTACCGGGGTTCCAGTCCTAGGGGATCTGAAAGTGCAAGGCTCTGGGATCTGTGACTTTGCGATTACGTCGTGACAGCCCCTCTCCTCCCACCGTGGTGCTTATCATAAGGGTTGAAACGGAGCAGGACCCTGTGGGGTCCTCCCTGGTACAAATTCTTTCCGTGCCCCCCCGTTTCTTGTTTGTAGGAAACAGGTTTCTTTCAGGCTCCTGGACGTTCCCTGAGCTCCAAAGGGCAGGTTCAAACAGTTGCTAATCAGGGAAGGGAGGGGATGCAGAAACAAGGGAGGAACAGCCTAGAAACAATACTGCAGCCTTGGGGCAGGGTCCTGGTTCTTCCTCAAGGGATACACACAACAATATCTGAGTTCTTCTGCGGGAACTAAGGCCTCCACCCAGGTGGAGGATGGTAACTTCAGGCTGAGGGCAAGATCCCTGGAGCACCGCCCTGCTACCTGGCCACCAGCCAATCAGAACAAAGTCACAAGCCCTGTAGCCCTCACCCCAAATTTTGCCCATTAAATACTCCCCCCAAAACCGTCGGGGTTTTAGAAAACGAGCCACCCATCCTCTTTGTATTGGCATCTTTACAATAAATGCTGCACTTTCCTTCACCACAACCCGGTGTCATTAGATTGGCCTTACTGCCCGCCGGCGAGCGGCCCCGAGTTTGATTTGGTAACAGGATGTTGGGGTCCAATGAACAAATGCCAAGCTACATCCCCTGATTTAGATGAGACCTTAAAACTTCACCGGAAAGCACTCGAATCCTGGCACAAATGATGTTTGGATAAGGGCACCTAGAGCGCATTCAGGTTTTCACTACCCAGAGAACATCACCTAATACTCAGAGAAGTGCTTTATACCTGCCAGGTTAAGCCTGTCAAATCACCTAGGAAACGAATGTTGTTTGCCCCTATTTGTAAATAGCAGAGTTTTGGCTGAAGAGCATGAAGCTCTTTAACTTACAAGGTTCTCATCTTCCACCTTTTATTTTTCCAACCAGCTTTTTTTAAATACAGATCAACATATTTTATTTATGATGGCTTCTAACATACCCATACAACTACTTCATGCCTTCCCGTTTCACCTTCCCTTTGAGGTGAACGTAACCCCTCTGAGCCTCCATCCTGTAGCAGTAAGTAACTCACTGTCGGAGACTGAACACCCACCCCCCACCCCTCACCCCCCGCATGAAGAAAAAACGTCCTTTAATGCCCTTTCTCTCCTCCTTTTTGAAAAGTCTCTACCCTGCTATTAATGAAATTAATAGAACAATATGCTTATTTCTTGTTTTCAGCAGAGGTATGAAAACCAGCGCTAAGCCCCTGCACTTCAGCTGAATGACACATCACCTCCTGAACCACGGTAGGTTTTCATTCTAGCTTTTATTACTCCTATTTTTCATTATTCCAGCTTGTACATTATTTTTCTCTCTCCCTTACTAAATTCTCCTCATTCTCTAAGACCCATCACAAATAAACTCTACATAGAACCCACCTTTGGCTTTTTATGCAAAGTGGAAAAAAGTAAATGGAGCCCTTATCTGGACAGAGCAGATCAATCTAATTCTTAGTGTTCCCGTGGAGCAGAGCAAAGAGAATGACTCTGAAAATATGATAATGAATGATAATGGTAAATGATACGAAAATGAATGATAATGGAAAATTCAATCCCAACCTTCCTTTTTTTCCCAAATAATACCTTTAAATATCAGGTTATAGTCTATCCTATTCCAACACAACAGAGAGTAATTTCAGTATCTAGTTTGGCAAAGACTTTTTGGCCTAGAGTGAATATTAAAATATTTTAAATATTTGCAGTTTGACAAAGTGTTCGGATACATGACAATGAGGCCAGCAGAGTCGGTTTACATTATTATTTCCAACTGGCCAACAACAAGGGGTTCAGATTTATACAGGCTTAGGCACTGACATTAATAACGTTGCTATATTGAGAAATACAGACATTAGCCAGATTAGGAACTTTCATCCTATTTGTTTGGTATTCAAGCCGTTATTTAAAACAGCACTGTTTGAGTGTTGAAAATGTGGCTCTTTTTCCTGTCTGCCCTTTTGGCTGTCCTTGGGTATTGAAAAATGCCTACAGGAGAGCTTTTTTAAAAACCACTTGTAAGAGGGGAAGGCCGTTACCTGTTCCCTTTCCTTCCTAATAGGCCACGTGACCTGCTTTTCCAGCACAGACACGAGGCATTTTTTTGCTGCTGAGACTGAACAGCTCAGCCTTCCCTACCTGCTCGTGACTGCAGGTCAGCACAAGACTGACGCACCTTTGGCTCACTTTGGAAGCAGTTATTCCCGAACTAGACGATTAATCAGGCTAGACATGTTTACCCTCTCCGGGCCGCCTTACAAGCTTGCTCTTTCTTCCATTCAGAAGCCTTTATTGTTTTTTACATCATTTAATAATTTTTCCGGGAAACCTCCTACACTGATGGTGGGAACGTAAGTTGGTGCAGCCACTGTGGACAACAGTACGCAAGGTTCTTAAAAAACTAAAAATAGAGTTACCATATGATCTGTAACCCCACTCTTGGGCAGATATCTGGAAAAGACAAAACCTCTAATTTGAAAAGGTACATGTACCCCAGTGTTCATAGCAGCACTATTTACAATAGCCAAGACATGGAAGCAACCTAAATGTCCATTGACAGAGGAATGGTTAAAGAAGATGTGGCATACACACACACACACACACACACACACACACACACACACACACTGGAATATTACTATGCCACAAAAAAGAATGAAATAACACCATGTGCAGCAATGTGGATGGACCTAGAGATTATCGTACTAAGTGAAGTAAGTCAGACAAAGACATATATCATATGATATCACTTCTATGTGAAATCTAAAGAAAAAAGGATACAGATGAACTCATTTACAAAACAGAAATAGACTCACAGACAAAGAAAACAAACTTATGGTTACCAAAGGCGAAAGGAGGGGGGAGGGATAAATTAGGAGTCTGGGAATTAACATATACACACTAATATATAGATAATCAACAAGGACCTACTGTACAGCACAGGGAACTATATTCAATATCTTGTAATAACCTATAATGGAAAAGAGTCTGAAAAAGAATAAATATATGTTTATGTATAACTGAATCACTTTGCTGTACACATGAAACATTGTAAATCAACTATACTGCAACTTAAAAAAAAAGAATTTTTCCAATTATGACGCTATCTAGAGCACAGCTCCATAATGAAGAGGGTATTCTTTTTGTGAAATACTAGAAAACTCAGAATCTCAGTGAAATAAAGAAATAATCAAAGGGGGAAAGGCAAGCCTCAGCACTCCTAGGCTTTCTGTGGCAAGGGGCAAGGTAGCACTCGCCTGACTCTGGAAGGCCTATAGAAGGATGAGTTGAGGGAGAGGCACGTGAAGTCTGCTGCCTGCCAGGCTAAGCCACACCCTTGAGGAAGGCGGCAGCTGGTCGTAAGGAAAATGTCATAAAAGACCTTGCATGTTGTGCTGAAAAACTTGGACTTCACCTTGTTGCCAAAGGAGCACCACCTAAGATGTTAGGTCGAGGAGCTCCCGGGCAACAAGTGCCAACTGGAGGAGGAACAAGACCAAAATAAATCATGGTGGAAAGTACACATCAGCCGGTAAACGCATAAGGCACATGTCAACGATAATAACAGTAGCAGTATTACTACTGACCAGATAGATTAAATGACATTAAAAAAACAACAACTTTTAATCAAATTTCTGGAGGAAACCATGCAAGATGTGCTTTGTCTTGTGTGTCATTAACGCCCAAGATTACTAACAGGGCATGGTGCAAAAACGAGTAAGTAAAGCCTCTTAAACTAGGAGGTAAATGTGCTAGTTATGCCTCAGTTAACTACATGTCCTAGAAACAGTTCGAAGGCTCTTACAGTCGAGGCTTTAGTTCTGTAGATATTCACAGGACTTCAGATACTGCATTGAGTTTTTTCTTAAATAAAGAAATAAAGATAGGGGAAAGATTTAAAGTCCCAAGGTCACTAAGGAATTAATGGACTGGGAATTAGTAGAAAGTCTACTTTGTATTATTATTTTTCTACTCCTTCAAACTAGTAGTGAGAAATACGTATGTTGCCTTATTTATGTCATTTATTTATTTTTAAATGTGTTGAATGAATGAATGAATGGAGTCCACATCCCCCATGGTTCCAGGTGCTCATGGATAAATGTTCTTTTAACTGGAATTGGGAACAGAGCAACGGGTATCTTTTTTTCTGACAAACAAAAACTCTGACCAGGTTGATTAAATGACATTAAAAAAAACACAACTTTTCATCAAATTTCTGGAGGAAACCATGTAAGACGTGCTTTGTCTCGTGTGTCATTAACGCCCACGATTACTAACAGGGCATATGGTGCAAAAACCAGGAAGCCTGGGCTCTGGTCACTTTTCTACCTTTAGCCGATTATGTGCTCTTAGGCCCCTACTCGCTTCCTCTTTATAAAGGATGTTCTCCCTGGTCCCTTCCAGCTTTTTAAAATGAGCTACAATTCAGTCTGTTGTAAGGTGAATCGCTAAGCAGCAGTGGTGGAATCCAGGCAGTATGAGGTATGGCCCCTATCCTGTAGGAGCGTATACCTTCACTAGGATTCAAAATACATACAGCTGAAAAGATAACCAACAAAACAGGAAAGACTATAGCTCAGTTCCAAACAAGAGGATGTCCACCAAATGTGACAGGAACTCGGAGAGGAGAAACAGTTCCCTCAGAGGCAGGGTGGTTAGAAAGGGCTTCCGGTGGTGAGACACAGACACCGAGAAAGGCATTCCAGTTGGAGAAATTACGAGTGTGCAAGAACCCAAAAACAAGAAAGCCCAATGTGGAGAAACTTCCCAGGGAGGCTGTAAATCTAGAACTTCTTTGACGTGTCAGCAGATAAAAACCTTCCAATCAGTGAACTATAGCCTCAAAGTACCAGGCATGTTTACAGGGTGAGAGTAAAAGGACTTTTGCCCCCTGTCCCTCCCACAGCTCACCAACTGAGCCAGGGCCTGGCACACGGTGTGTTCAACGCTCGGGAATGGGTCCAGAATCATCTGGGCATTTGAAAGTGCAATTTTCAGCTATGGAAGAAGGAATGTTGAAACCCATGTTTGCCCACTTTTAATTTATATGTTAGAACAGCATAGGCTAGGAGAGCCATCCATGATTTTTTTCTTTTTTCTTTTTGGCCACACCATGCAGCATGTGGGGATCTTAGTTCCCTGACCAGAGACTGAACCCGTGCCCCTGCAGTGGAAGCGCAGAGTCCTAACCACTGGACCGCCAGGGAAGTCCCCATGATTTTTTTCTTTTAAGCCGATTTCTAGCTATCTGGAGGTGTGATTTTACGGTACAAATAGTGCTTTTTTCTCTCTTCCCCCTAGCACACGCCTGTACAAAGACCTAACTATAAATGTACCACATCAGCACTGAATTCTATTCATAATTCCGCACGCATCTTTCCTTGGTTTAATTGCATGTACTAATGCAAACTTCATTATACCTTCATAATTGTTCTGGGACTTGTTTTTCCATTCTCAATTAATTGCTATCCTGGAGTTGAGAAAGAAACTGAGGAAACACAGGCTTGAGCAAAAGCTAGATTTATCATGTTAAAATAGTGAAAAGGGCAGCAAAAGGACTGGGTCTGATGAAGTTTTTGTTGACGTGGCATGGAGAGGCGAAGTTGTATCGGCAGAAAAGGTTAGGTAAATGAGGTGAGATGGTATCATTTCTTGGTCTCACTGCTGGCTGCTCTTTGGAAGGTCATTTTTGTGTGGTTTGCATTGTTACTGAAGCAGGTCAAATGACTCAGGGATTCATTCCTTAATTATAAAATATAGGATTTTTAAAAATTATTATTTTTTATATTTATTTATTTATTTGGTTGCACTGGGTCTTAGTTGCGGCACGCATGTGGGATCGAACTGGGCGCCCTGCATTGGGAGCGCGGAGTCTTATCCACTTCGCCACCGAAGAAGTCCCTATAGGGATTTATTTTTTTCCCCTGGAACTAAGAGTATTTCACAAGAAAGTAAAGAAGGGTGATAATCTAATCCACTTTGGACAACCGGTTAAGTTATTCTGTTCTGGGTGGCTAGATGGTTTGTAAATGAAGCCTTTCATTTATTTGTCTATATCTA